TCTTCACTCCCCCAGCCTCATTTTAACTTCCAACTGTTTAAGTTTCAAGTCTATGAGCCGCACATGATGAAATTTAGAAGTGAGCATTTGCTACTTTGGTAATTATCCCTTTTTACTTGGTTTTCCAGCTTCCTCCCCCTTACATAATGCGTGTTTACATTCTGTCTTTGAGTGTCATATGACAGAAAGCTGGTTCCTTGAGGCTACCATCTTTTCTTTCCTGTCACTATATCACTGATTCTCACTGAAAAAAAAAATTACAGATCTTTGAACTACAAATCTGATATGCAATTTTAACATTCAAGGAACCTGAATTATGTATACCATTTGTAGACACTGCCTTCTGCATAGTGATTCACTAAAAATGAATATAGTGGGATACTAAGTCTGTAATGTCACTTAAGAGCATGTACTGTTGTGGGTTTTGGTTATCTTAGAGAAACATGCTGGGAACTGTTAGTTGTCATCCAGTATTAATCCTTTCTTTCAGGGCAATGATACTGATTATCCTGGAGTAAGGAATGTGTCTAGGGTAAAACACAAACAGAAAAGGTCTAGTTTTCCAGCATTCTTTGCCTATAGAATGAGCTTTATAATTCAGTTCTAGTTGATAATGTATTAAGTGGAAGCATTTGGAGGGGACAGACTTTCTGGAAGGCCTCTTACAGACATGCAAATGAAATTAACCTCAGTTTTTCATTCTTAATGGACTAGTCTCATTAGATGTCCCACAGTCAGCTAACTTCAATGAGTAAAAATTGAACGTGCCTACTCACACTTAGAACCTGGTTTCCTTCTGCGTACACCTTTTAGTGAATAATGTCATTGTTAACTGACTTATCAAACCCCAGAATTTTGGGGTCAGGCTACTTTCTTCTTCATTTATAACATCCAACAGATTATTGTATCCAGGCCTGGATCTCATAGAGATACTCCTGCCTCTGCCTCCCAAGCACAAGGATTAAAGACATGCACCACCATGCCTGGTTTATGCCTCGTAGTTTTTAATGTCAAATTGTATGGCATAGGAAAGTTTTTGTGCTTTACAATTATGCTTGTTACTTTTCAAAACACCTCATACATTAGTTTATTTCTTAAAGGAGAGAGAAAGGGGGGAAATTCTCAGAGTCACTGAGAGATTACAGCAAGTGTGCTTTGAGATAACTGAAATGTGCTTTAATAGCCTTCTAGCGTCTACCTGAGAGCAGATGGCAGTCAGAAACATAAGAGAGGCCATGATCTCCTCGTGCAAATTCATCTTTTTTCTAGTGGGAAATCGTGGATAAAATGGCAAACAGATTCGAGTTTGCAGTACTGTTCCTCATCGTACATTAATGACCCAGATCTTAAATCATAAACCCAGGGTTTTAAATGGCCGTTGCCTAATCTTACTGCATAATATGTAAATTCATAAATTTGAATCATCGCACTAAACAGGAATAGATACAAATTCCATTTATGTATCTTGAGGAAATTATGTTTTGCAGGCACTATTAGAGTGTCTGGACTTCTATCAAATATTTTTGAAACCTTTGCTTTGGGTAAGATAAGAACACTACAGATTTGAAAAATAAAATTTACATGGACTTAGGCATTGTAAAGATGATGGGTGTGAAATATTAAATTGTAAACTGAAGACTGGATGTCTAATATTTTTAAAATGTGTATCAGCTGGTTTAATACATATGTAATATGCATCTGCAGATGGTCCATGACTTACAGTGATTTGACCTATAATTTTTCAATGTTTAAGTCATGGATAGACAACCAGTAGGAACCAAAATTTAAATATTAATTTGATCTTCTTCTAGAATAGCAGGATTAATAGATACTGTAGTGGGAACTCCCAGGCAGCCTTGCAAACATGGGATAATAAGCAACAATCAATACCTATATATGGTGTTTTCTTCTTTATATAGATATGCAATAAATCATATAAGATATTCAACACACTATAAAATAGATTTTGTCTTAGATAATTTTGTCTAAGTATAACGTACCATACATCTTCTGTTCCTGTTCAAGTTTGATTAAGCTAAACCATGATGTTCTTACACATATTAAATTGATTTTGTACTTATGACATTTTAACATACCATAGATTGATTAATACCTATAATTGATAATTACATTGTAAGTCAAAAATTATCTGTACATGCACAATCTTAATTCTTATATATTTATGCATATGGTGACTTAGGTATGCATTAATATGTCTGTAATTGTAAGTGGATATGCATGTATTTATAGGAGTTGTTGTTCCATAAGTTACATTTTCCTTTGTAAAATTAAAAGGCATCAATATTGAATAGGTTTTGTCTTCCTGTATCAAAGACATTAATCTTAATTTTATCCTGACAGTTACAGGAATAGAAAGCCAAAATGAAACCCCATCAATAACTTTCTAATCATTCACTTTCGACTTGCATTCTTCAGGGTATTCATTGAGGCAATGTTGAACACCAAGACAGAGAACCAAGGACTCTGATGGTAAAGCCCAGCCTTGACATTTACTCCGACGACCCTGGAAAAGCTACTTAACCTTTCTGAATTTCATTGTTTGAGATACTAACGAAAACAAACCAATCAAATAAATGGTTTATTTGGCATGTTATTGCGAAGATTGAGATAAAACTTAGGTCACAGATAGATAATCAATAATGATTACTTTCCACTCTCTAGCCCTGATGATAACCTTTGCTTTTTATTGCAATTCCATTTACTTCAAGAACATTAATTCATTAAGAGAAAGTTCAGTTCTAGGATATAGAGCAATAGATGCTGCAAATTTATAAGTATACCCAAATGGTCTTCAAAAATGGTTCTCTGTGATATGAGTTCCTAAAGTTCTCATGTTTTACTTTAACCTAAATTTATAATCTTGGTCCATGCCCTTCTCAAAGTCACTGATAACTGAATCTAATATAGACATCAAATATTATTTTATTACAATGCCTGCTCTAGAAAAATGATCTACTGTTATTAAAAGATGAGCAAAAATTTCAGACATTATTTCTAACATGGTAATTAAAAAGCAGCATGACATTCAATGCTACCAAAGAATTTATGCAAGTTCTTCTAAATCTAAAATGTTTCATAAAAATCTGTTTAACAAATTACATATGGGATATTATTAAAATCTCAGGACCAGAATTTCTATGCTATAAAAATGAATAAGAAGAAATGATTATCAAGTAACAACAGTAAAGCAATCATTTAATTAATGTGCAATTTCACATTCACATACCTTAGAAACCTTACAGGATTCAATTCAGAATTCCATCTGCACACCTTATAATGTTTGAAAACTGTTTTAAATTAGCAAGCATTCCTAGTACAAGTGGTTTCCAACATTGAGATATTTCTTAATTTCTGGAGTAAATAAAATAAAGGGTCTAACATTTCAAAAAGAAAATTGATAAGTACTCTTGCTTGTTTAATTACATGCACTTTTATATTAACTGTGACTGAGTTTGTCCTAAGGTAAATTTATCTCAGAGATATGGTGCTGGCCAGCAGCGTATCCTCTCTGTTTTTCAAATCTTCTACCTGGGAAGGTATAGGGCGGCAAGTGTTGGGCAGTACTCACAGCTGACATGATAAGCTCTCCCCCCAGGTTCTGGATTTCAGCTTTGACTTGACTGCAGATCTTCAGCTGGTGAGAGTAGAATTTAATCTGTTCCAGATCAGCCAGCAAGTCCTGTTTGCACGATGGATCTGGACACTGAATGGGCATCAGGGATAGAAATGGAAATAGCGAAATAAATAAGATGTAGATCAAAATGTGTCGCACGGGCATTACAGGCATTTTATAAGGCAGCCATTTTCTGCAAGCCCCATTTCTTAGGTCAAGCCCAGGTCAAATCTGGACTTGTGTCTGATGTGCCAACTCTAGAAAACTCATGTTGGAACAGATTTTTGTTATTCAGCTTTAATTACCACGTTTAGGCAAAATAAATGTTAAAGGCATTTACAAACATGAAGAAAAATGTAAAGGAGTTTAGGATGTCATTATTTCATCACTTAGAATCACTATGAAAATATTCCTTGGGAACCATAGACTTCCACTGCCTGTCCTGTGGTATTTATGTGTGAATTCAAAAAATTGCAATAAAATATATTAAAGTCTATTGCTTTCAGCTTTCCGTGTTCTTAGCTGCTGCAGAAGAAGGAAATCATTTCTACCTAGACAATATCTGTGATCTAAATGTATGTAAAAACAGATAATACACATGTTTTATAGATGTATAAAATTTCTTTATCAATATAGTCTTATATATTGTGTCATTTTCTATAAGAGATGCCAGAAAAGCAGTTCTGAGTGACATTGTAACACTTCAAGTATCTCAAGTTAAGGGTAATCTTTATATTCTCTCCTGTGGAGCTGGAGTTTTAAGACATCAATCACTAACAATTCTACCTTTTTTTTTTTTTTTGGTCTTTTTGAGGCAGGGTCTCCCTGTAGACCCAGCTGTCCTGGAACTCACTATATAGACCAGGCTGGCCTTGAACTCACAGAGATCCCCCTGCCTCTGCTTCACACACACTCCTCCAACCCAACACAAATAAAACAATACAAAATATTTAAATCTAAAAATGTTTTCAATGATATGGGAATTGTTTTTCAAAGACAGAAACTAAAAATTCAGCACTTAAAATTTCATGTATTATTTCAAATAAACTATACAATGTATGGATTTAAAACATATTGAAAAAGAAATCTAGAAATGATCAATGAATAGGTTAAAGTCAATTGTCTTTGGTTTTAAAATCTATTTCCCCATATTGAAATATATATTATTTCAATAATTATACATGTTATTAAAAGATTCAGTCTAATGACTAATTGTAAATTAAAAAGTGGATGAGGGGCCACTGGTGAGATGTCTCAGCGTGGAAAGACACTGGAAAGCAACCAGGATGACCTGAGTTCAACCCCTGGTGATCATATGATGGAAGGAAAAAAATTGACTCCTGTAGGATATCCTCTAACCTCCACACATGCACTGTGACATAAGAAATGCAAGAACAAGTAAAACAGAGGATCAGAAACCCTTTTATGAATTTTTGCATTTATCTATGATAGTCATTCTCGAATATCCATTAAGAAGAATATCCAGGACCTGTGAAAATACCAACTTCCCAAATAGTCCTATTTATCTTTAAAAAAAAGGGCATAATATTTGTATATACCCTAAAGACATCCTTCTCGTATACTTTAAATGTTCCTAGATTGCTTATAAGTAACACAATGTAAATTACATGTAAGTAATTGGTATACTGTATTTGTTTGGGAAATAATAGCAAGACAAGACTAAATAAATGCAGAGCGTAGATCCACCACTGTGACCACCTATAATGAGCACACTTGCATCTGGATAAATTGGTGGGTACAGAACTCATGGATGCATAGGGACAGCTACAGTTCATAACTAAGATAGGGCATCGTTGGGAAATTACTGAGAAATTTATTCTGATCTATATTGCTAAGTAGTCTAGTCTGCATATATCCAGGTCAGGAGTACAAGATAAGGTTGTGGGAGTTTATACACAAAGTTCATAATAATCAAGAAAGGAAGCAAATAAATTCTTCTGCATAAATGGTGGCCATCTGCTAGCCAAGCACGGACACATAGAAGGCTGGGTGGACATGTGATTGCCAGCCAGCAAGACCATTAGACAGGATGGTAGGAAGACTTGGGGTGAATTGTGTTCCCCATGTTTTGAATAAGGAATTAGGGGTGATCTTCAAATGCTTTAATGAAGATTAAATTAAACTGTAGTTCATTAAGAAGAAAAAAAAGGCATAGGGAGAGAGAAGGCAGAGGAAAAGAGGAGTGAAGGTTCAGTTACTATGTCTGACACCACATTAAATGGTTTCAGCACACCACGAGGTCACCAATCATATTCCAAGACAGAGGAGTTTCCCTTTAACAAAGAAAAGAGCATCCTCCTGTTGTTTCATCTTGACAGAAAGACAAGTTCATTAGGTGTCTCTCCATGTGTGTTACTGCATTTGTCCTTTCAAATGTACAATGTGTCATATTCATAGCAAGATTTTAATTAGATCTAGGTGTTGTCACTGTGCAGATTTTTCAAGCTAAGAGAAGGGTTTGAAGTTTTCTGTGTTTTGCGCCCATGAATGAACACTAATTGCTTCTATACAACATCCATTCAAAACGCTTTTCTTGTGCTTACTGAAGACACACTATCCCTTATTCCTACAGGTAGACCCAATGGCAAGCCTGCCCCAGACGTTTCATCTGCCTGTGTTGTTCTGGGTTCACTCCCTATATGACTACTTCAGGGACCACCTGCCTCCAGGATATTTGGTCCACCTTTGTGCTCACTGAACAAGTGCAGTACCAGAACAGAGATGGTAATTACTTGCCAACCAATAAGTTGCCTAACGACTATTCGAATAGATCTTCCTTTCCGCTGTGGTCAAGAAACAGCTTTGCCTTTCTGCTGGGTTTATCAGTTCTAAGAAGTAACAACTCACCACTCCGATCTGTAAATTGACTTCCTAACTTGGCCCTATTATTTATAAATTATAAATTGTATTATTATGTACTTGTTCTTTAATGTTTGATGCTATTGTAGAACTCCTGATGAAATTTATCTTGCAGTCAGTAATCTGACTTATGGACCAATTACCAATGCTATAACGATTCAGTGAAAGAAAATATTCAATCTCTTTCAAGAAGTCCACTCATGGCTGGGCTAGAAGAGTTCATAATTATATTAAGAAAAGGATGAGACCAATTATAGAATTTGAAATTGAACTTTCGAAGTTTTCAGATGCTTGACCCAGATTTACTCTTCATTTAAAGATGTGATGAAAATCCTGGTTATATGTTTGGCAGTGATTTCTACGTCTGAAGAAGAAAAGCAAAACAAGTCCTCATGTACTAGAAGTTAGTGATGCCGTCAAACTGATATTTGAAAAGGCTTCTGATTTTTTTCTTTTTACCTGTAATATTTGAACAAATTTAAAGGACTTGGTATTGCTAATTGTATAATGCAGTATGCAATAATCAAATCGGTGCAATTAGCATTTCCAAATTCTCAGATATTCTCATTTCTCTATCTCTGAGTTGACTTCACTCTAAATTTGAGAATGCTATTTTACTCTTTGCTAACATCTTGTGTGATGACTCTTTATAGGACATTTCATTAATAAACATTTTTCCCAAAGAATAAGTTTCTTCATATTTTGTTGGCTATTATATTGCTTATTGTATATAT